CGAAGGAATGAGTTCTTTTCCCTCCCCCACACACATCCGTATCGTCTCAGGGGGTGACCACAGTGTTCTGCCTTAAAATGTGGCGTTTTTCTAAGAAATGGGTGCTATGTACTGTGCGAAAGCAATCGATTTTGCAGGCATAAACTTTTGTACATCCCTCTTCTAAGAATTCCAATTGAATAGCCAGCTCAGGGCAATATGATATTATAAACACCAGCACATATCAGTCTCTGGTGTTTATAGCTTCAGAGCAAACAAAACACATCATTCATAACAGAAACAGCTCGCAATAGCCACAGGAACGTTGCTGCAAGACAGGCATATGTAACGACGACTTAGCGCTCTTAAACGCGTGTGTCATTAAATACAGTCCTCCTGACAACAGGCCAGTGAAAAATCTAACAATCTACAGCAAAACCATCAATTAATATGGGCGTTATAACATACGTGTGCAGCTTGACGAAACATACACGTCGAACCCCCCCAGACGATTTAAATCCCTGACGAAACATACACGACGAACCACGGCAACGGGTTAAATTGTATGTTACTGAAGGGAAATTTATGTGTACATTCAAAATAAAAGAAATACTTGTGTATGAAATATCTCTCTTCCCTTACATACTGAAAAGAGTAATATTTTTTAAAAGCAAGGCCAACAGGCAGGCAGTTTGCAGGTTCTTTACCCATGGCGGGGCAACAGAGACCCATAAGAAGCAGACTGTATAGCGCAAACACACTCACACTTACATACACATATGAGAATTGATAGTTCATTGCATTGAATCATGTTTGACATTAGAACAAATGACCAGGAAAGCATCTATATTGATAATCATGTCCTTTTTTTCTGTTCGTATACTGAGAATATTGTTCTTAAAGGAAGTATATTTAAAGCACTTTGTAACTTCAGAATGAAAATAGGGAACGCAAAGTGTTCAGTTGAGACAGCAATGTACTGCTTGCAATGGTATGGCAGTCACTCTTTGCAGGGTTTAGTGTGTGTTTAGTGCTGCTTCTCTATCACTTCACAACTGCTGTGTAAGTGACACAGATGTGCCATGCTGTATAGGAACTACTGGAAGTTATCCCCTTCATGCCAGTTTTCTGCGAAAATATCCATGTGAATGATTGGCCACCCACAGCACACCACATCCTTACTTTTTATGGCATTTGTGGTATGACATAAGACTTTCTATCCTCCGTATTGCCATGCAGATTGGTATAGCTGTAATGCTCTGGTATTATGTTCAGGAGGTGCTTGGTTCAGAACTTATCCAGGACAGCAACAATGCTGATATATTTTTCATTGTTTTCCTTTGTTCCTCCAGTTGAATGCTGGGATTGTGTGTTAATTGATCTATGACTGCTTTCTTCCAGTTCCTTACCAATTCATCAATCATCTTGCCGTTCACTGCTTTACAGACTAGATACTGACAGCATCACAAAATAATCACTAGAAAATTTTAATATATTTTAATATAATAACTAATTTTTTACATGGAAATTTTAATACAATTTTAATTATTGGGAATCTACTGTATGGAAAAGTGAACACAATATTGCGTGCAGTGGAAAACCCCAGTCAGAATAACCAGTAAATCTACACTTCAAGAAGCGCCATTGTGAGTGCCTAAGACAAACATCAAAACCAACTGTGATAACAAAATTTATATAGAGAGCATTAGTCATATCTAAATGCATATTGTTAAAATATCTTATGTGACAGTGTTTCCTTATCGTGGTGGTGCGCCTCTGAAGATGATTCTTTTGAATCGAAACATGTAAGGTGAATGAGGACTGAAGTGTAGTAAACTCGTATGTCACACTCNTTCACCCCTACCCTAGAACATTGTGTTAGCATAACAGGACCAAAAATGCAGCGTTCAGTTCACACTAGTGTGAAAATAGTCTTACAACTCACCATGTGAAACAAAAGTGAATGAATATTAAACAACATATAAGCCTCAAAAAAGCCGCAAACCAGTTTATCTGCCCCCAGATAATTGAGAGTTGAGTGTAATTATAATACTAGTCTAAGAGAGTGCCAGTCCAACACTGATACTGAAAGTTTGCAGTTGCGAAGATGCCTTTTACTCACAAAGTAATACTGGCTCAGTGGGTTTATACCTCTTCCAAGACACAAAATGAAAATGGTATATAAAGAAACATGTGACAGTCTGACACTGACTTTTTAACTGATAAAGAAATATTAGACAATCCAACACTGACTTCCTGACTGATAATTCGTCACTGAAAACCAGTCCTTGAATGCGTCACACTTCCTTGAAGGCTCTGGAAGCACTCATCTGCAAGCACCAATGAATATTTATTTCCTCATCACTTCTCGAAACAAAGCTGGGCTATATTTGGCACACCAGGTCATAAACAATCATATCTAAATATAAATAGTATTGAAACCAGTACCATGATAAACGATATCATTGTTCAGAGCTAAGGAATGAACAACTGACATGACTTCATGTACATTTGTTTTGGTTTCAAACCCAAGGTCAAACTGTCAGCACTCCCAAAGAGAGCACGAGTGCTGTGTTAGATATATGTAACATTTGGCCGTTAAAGGTTAATCTGGGAAACTTCTGGTTGTGGGTGCAAATTCCTGTGAAACACCAACTTCTTGTTCCAAGTGTGTTAATCATTTCTGAGGACTGATCTTTTACCATGCTTAAGTGTCTTGAGAATCTGCTTCAGCACATTCCTTGTGGATTGTCTCTTTTTGTGACATACTCAACCTGTTACCTGCCACTTTTGGATAAGCTTCGGTTCATACTACTTTAAGGGAATTTCTTTATGTGCATGTTAATGAATGAACCTTTGAATATTATTTTAATATTTTTCTTCTTCTTCTGTAGGATTTGACTGAAAGTTCACTGTCAGATTGTTTACCTCACTGCAAGAGTAAAGAATTGAGACTTCAAAACATTATATGAGCAAGCAAAACCTAGAGTCAGTAGTGTACCAGTCACAGTATGTTGACTGCACAAATGACTCATCATGTCTGCCACTTTATCAATAACCCAAGACAAAATGTCCATTCTCCTTGCAGTATATTGCTACATTTCCTTCTTGTTCAAACTCTCTGTAGCATGGATGCAATTAAATTAAAATTCATTGTGAAAACCACTGGCGTTAAACTTCTTATGAATTTATTATAGGACAACTCGCAGCAAACTGCGGGAAAGAAATGCTGCATCACCACCAACATTTCCAGGTAGCAGCAGTGTTGCTGGGTCCTCTCCAACAGCAGGGCCATCTGGAGTGATGGATGAACTAGTGAGTGCAAGCGGGTACAACAGTGGTGATGAATATGGACCTTGTGAATCAGGACATCTCACAGAAACGGAGTGGCTCGAGGTAGCTGAGCTTTACTTTCTGTCATGTCATTTTATTTGATACTCTTACGGTATAATATATATTTTGCTATTGTCCATATGCAGAGAGACAGGTGGTTTGAGAAAAGCATTAGGAGGAAGGGCTTCATCATTAAGCAGATGGAACAAGATGGGGCTTGTCTGTTTCGTGCCGTGGCTGACCAGGTGTACGGTGACCAGGAAATGCATGCTGTTGTTAGAAGTCATTGTATGGATTACATTGTGAGTATTACTTACAGTAGGAAAGTCCCTGTTGTTTGCCCAGGTATTGCTGCTTGGCACTCTAAAGGAAGAATAACACTCAGATTAAGAAATTAAAATATACTCCAGAATAAAGAGTGGGAATGAAGATTCAACTGTCATCCAGAAATTTTAGTGCTGTTCTTGCATGTTGATTTAAGAGTCATGGTATTGTGCATATTGTCGAGAGTCTGGAGTAAATTTCGTATTTTCAGGTGTTAACCGTTAGGTCCACTGCAGGAAACATGAGAAACAGAACAGTTTCATTCTTTATATTAAGTGAACTGTCCAGATTGCAAGATTGCAAGTCGCATTGCTGACTAATCTGTGATTCGGCCTGTTTTTTTAAAAACAATAAATATCAAAACATATTAATTTAACCTTTATGGGACAGGCCATTTAAATTCCGGTAGTGGCAGCGGGACGGAGTTAATTTAAATGCCCGCCATTGTAGAGTAATAAAAATTGTAATCATGTTACTCAAAATGCTGTGAGTTCTACAATTTTTGTGATAAATGAACGAAATAAACGCTGCTTTTATCTAGAAAGAATATAGAATCAGATATTGTAATTTACAGATTTTAGAATCTGTAAAAATTGTTACACTGATTCAAAAAAAAATGTTTTCCCCAATTTTGAGCGTCTGTCCACAAAACTGCAGTCAGTTTCTGCACAAAACGTTTCTGCAGTATAAATGCCTGCTGCTGACATCATTCGTACTGGTACTGGCTTATCTTCAAAAGGGGAGGAAATGTTTATGCTTTTATAGCACTCCAACCTTTCTGTATACAGGAGTGAGGTCACGTCCCTCAGAGACTGTCTGTGTATACACGTATCTGTCACACAAGAAGTACTGTTACGCTTATTAGAAAGGCCCGCACATGGCCTCTTCTTCTACGTACTTTCAGTCTTATGTACCACATTCTAAATCGGTGACATTTATCAGCTGCATATTAACTTTAGCTTCTTCCATGTGAAATGGGGCCATGGGGGATAGTTGAAATTGCGACATTTTATAAGCGTTATGATTAGAGAAGGCAAATCGGCAACACTGGCTGACTACCTGCTAATACGAGAATGATGTTGCCTGTGTACGCTTCGCGTGGAAAACAGAGTTACATACGGACAAAGCGCATGAATTGCGATGTTGGACTCCACATTCAGTTACATGAAACATTCAGTTAGATGGTGCAGGCGAGAAGACAGTCTACTTATAAAGCTGGTGTCCAAAAATAATGTAGAAAGGCCTGCACATGGCCCCTTTCTTCTATGTGCTTTCAGTCTTATGTACCACATTCTGAATGGTGTGATTTACGAGTGGCCTCTCAATTTCGGCTTTTTCAGTGCGAAAAGGGGCCATGGTGCATAGTTGAAATTGCGATGTTTTATAAGTGTTACGAATACAGGAGACCACTCGCCATCACTGACCTATTTCCTGCTAATACGAGACTGACATTGCGTGATTGCGCTTCGTGTGGAAAACAGAGTTAATTACGGACAAAGTGCATGAATTACGACGTCGGACTCTGCATTCGGTGACATGCAACATTCAGTTAGATGATGCAGGAGGGCAGGAGGGAAGACAGTCTACTTATAAAGCTGGTGTCCAAAAATAATGTAAGTAGAACAAGAATTTCTATCTTAAAATTAGATTTTAAAACGCTGTGCACACGCGTGGACCGCACATACCCATACGGTGTCTTTCGGCCACCTTGGCTTTACTTTAAAGGTCTCCATACGGTGTCCTTCGGCTCATAAAGGTTAAATGTAAAGTTAACAAATGAGTACTGCACTTGATATGTGTCTTGTAATAGGAGAACAGGTCTCAAATGTATTCATGAAAGCCATGAATGTAATGTACATCTACAATATATTTAATTTCAGACATGTTTTTGTATTCATTTAGGCAGCTAATGGGGATTACTTCTCTCAGTATGTCACCGAGGACTTTGACACCTATGTTGATAGAAAAAGACATGAATATGTTCATGGGAATCATATTGAAATGCAAGCTATGAGTGAAATGTACAACCGTACAGTTGAGGTGTTCTCCTATGGAACAGGTGAGTGATGAAGAAAGTCATGTTTTTTTAAGTTCTGTGACACTTTGCTTGACATGGTGATGAGAACCTAGGTGAAAAGTCTGTTACACAATTTTACAGTATTTTTTTATTTATGACATATAGCTCATAACCTGTTGTGTGTTATAAGGAGTCTTTCCCTCAGCTGCCGCATGTTTATGGCTTAGGATTGTGTGCATCCACATTTGCTCTTGAAAAAGGAGGATGTGTTTCAGAATAGAGATATTCAGTTCACTGACCACCTTCTAGTGCAGTAATTTCGAATAACGAATGTTGACATTTATATGCCTATGTAACCTTAACCCTTTCTGGTCAGCACGTTTGGAAAAATATCCGCAGCCAGGACAACAGGTTCTTAAATGCCTGCAGAGCCACTATATGTAGTGTTTTCCACAAAAAGTTGGTGCAGCCACCATAATATCTGTCAGTGAACTGAGGGTAGTCTTCAGTACCAAATACACTGAGTCATAGTCTGTCCATCAAGGAAAGAATTATTCTTGAATTGAATGGTTTTTTAGAGTATGGCAAGTTACACACGTCACTTGCAGATTTTCCATAATTTGGAATTGTGCTGTGAACCTAACCAGTCTCACTGTCAGCCGATACAAATAATCTGATTCCACAATTCGTTTGTTTTTTGGATTATATGTTTCGAAAATTGTTTTGGGCTTGAAGCCAACTGTTGAGTCATATATTGCAATGTTTTATCTCGCATAGAATGTTCTTTAAATTGTTTCTATATGTGTTATATCACTCATGCACTTTCTTCTCCTTTCAATGGCCCGATTGTTTTATTCGGTGGTATCATTTCCACACATTCATCATCGAAAATATCAGTAAAAAGCGATCTCTGGACATTACATCACCAAAAAAAATTATCTGGGTTTACCACTCATGCTTTCACTTCAGGAATTGACACATCAGACCACATACTCCAAATGGAAATTGGGCTTAAGTGAAGTTCCCAAATTTTGTGTCTCGCATACATGTGTGTCTCAATAATAATGTTATTCATAAGCTCATCATTGAAAAATAATTCATGGGTTCTTCTTCTGGTGGAAGGTTAAATTGTGGCTCTGCATTTTTAGTACTGTGTATGCATTGGGTTTCTTGTCACCCATTGTCTAGGCTTCCCAGCCATCAATCACATATCATTAATAGATTCTTCATCTGCATCACGCAAGGGATTATATCTAGTTTCTTCAATCCAGAGGTCTGAGGTTTGGCTGAATATAAGAGCATGCTGCTGACAAGTGACACTGCATAATATACAGGGTGATTCACGAAGTTTTACCCTCACTTCGGGGAGGGCATTCCTGAGGTAATTTGGAACAAAAAAAGGTTAATGCACTAATGGTATCCAACTCATAATTAAAGAGATACAGTAATTTGAAAACTGGCGAAAAATCTTTTTTTCTTTGAATATCAGTCAAAAAAAAATAGAAATACAATACAAACACTTTTTAAATCGTTAATGTTTTAGGAAAGAAGCATTCTAAAACCAATTTTTTTTTTTTCAATTAATTTTGCACTTTGCAATATTTTTCATCGATTTTGTGTTACAAAATTACATTATTTTCAGCATCCCATTCTGTAAACATACCAATGGTTGCATATCGCACCCTTCTATCAATCTGTTTCCTTTAAACTGTTGTGCTTTAGAAGACAACTGGATTTACATAAGATTTTCAAAAATGTCTCCCTGCATGTCAACACAATGCGTCGCACGCATATGAACCGCTCTGCCTATCTACCTACGCACAACATTCAAACCGGTCTACCTTATCTGCTGACATAGCTGACTGGAACGTATGGTCACCCACGCTGAAGCATAGCGCTGCATTCACAATGATGTGTTTCAAAAATCTATTGTTACTCCATAACTATTGAAAACCGACCACAAGTTTATAAGGAAATTTTTCAGGAAATATCCCCAGGAATATGTACCATAAGCCGGGATAAAACTTTGTGATCACCCTTTATAAGTGACATTTGTTCTCAAGAAGTTAAAATTATGACTTCCAGATGGCAGAAGAAGGCAGATGAAACATTCATGGATGCGTTAGTATAGTATACAGTGCCAACTAGCAACATGTGATCGAATATGATAGCAGAAACTGGAAACAAACTTTGCTGATCATATATTGATATTCACCCGTAGAAGTACTGTCACCATGTCAAGTATTTATTGATATTCAACTGGAGAGGTTTAATAAAGTGGTGCATTTTTGTTGAGATATCCACATTATAGTGATGTAAGGTACCCTCATGAAGTACGTACTTGTTTCCCATAACGCTGAGGAGCGTTAGTTTGAATAGTAATCTTTACTGGCTGTCACATTACTGCGATGCCACGTCATAGTCCAGCTGGCTGAACATTGCATTTTTCAGTACTGATACAGTTACCCGCAGTTAAAGTATGACTGCCAGCTCTGTAGAACCAGGAGATATACAATTTACAATTCCCAGACAGTGAGCTTCTTTTTCTCTTCACATCTTCTACATTTTATGTGGGTTGAAGGACCAAATGTTTCCATCTCCTCTATCTCCCCACATTGTTTCCATTTCGATTTCTTGCCAGTTGTTTCCCCTTCCTTGTCTTCCAGTACCTTACTAAATGATCTTGTGCTGGGTCATTTAAGCTCTTAACTTGCATGAAAATATGGCCTCCAGCCCATACTGTCCAAAGATTTAAGTTCTCTGTTGCTTAATGGTAAAGGTAATTGCTGCATTCTAATAGTGCAATGTTTTGTGATTTCTGGAAGGACTTAATTTGTACTTATTCCTTTATTTTGCTCTGTTTTAAGTGCTTTGAAGGAGTTATCAGAAATCTAAGATAGTAGTCAAAATTACCCTACATGTTTTCTTCATGACTGACTGTAAACAAAGTATATGAAATTAATACATTGTGACTTGTTAGTAACTGGGTCTGTATTTTACCATTTCAGATCCTATAAATATTTTTCTGGGTAAGCACAAGAATGACAGTGAACCAATCAGGCTGTCATATCAACGTGGGAGTCATTATAACAGCATTGTTGATCCATATAAAGCCACTATAGGAGTTGGCCTAGGTCTTCCCAGCTACACTCCAGGTCTTGCTGAAAATAACCTGATGAAGGAGGCAGTGAGTCAGAGTGAACATTTTCATGTGGAGCAGGTGTGCAATATAATATATTGTGTAATATATTATAAGGAAAGAATTATTCTTGAAATGAACGGTTTTTCAAAATATGGCAAGTTACACATGTCACCTGTAGGTTTTCCTTAATTTGGAATTGTGCTGTGAACCTAACCAGTCTCAGTGTCAGCTGATACAAATAATCTTATTCCCAATTTCGTTTTTTTTTATTATTATATGTTTTGAAAATTGTTTTGCTCTTGAACCCAACTGTTGATTCATATATTGCAATGTTTTAACCTGACAGAATTTTTCTGAAACTGTTTTGTATATGTGTTTTATCACCCCACGTACTTTCTTGTCCTTTCAATGGCCCAATTGCTTTATTCATTGTTATCATATCATGCATCATCCAGAATATCTGTAAAAAGCGATTTCTGAACATTATGTGACCAAAAAAAATTATCTGGATCTTCCTCTCACTAGACCAGTAGTCTTTTGTGGCAGGTAATTGGATTAGCCCCATATTTATGGTTAGACCTAAAAACGCCTTCACTTCAGAAACTGACACATCAGACCACATACTCCAAATGGACCTCAGGCTAAGGTGAAATTCTTAAATTTTGTGTCTCATGTACCTATTTGTCTCTATAACAATGTTATTCAAGAGCTCATCATTGAAAAGTAATCTAAAATGATCCATAGACTCTGCATCTGGCAGAAGAGTAAATTGTTTCCCTGCATTTTTAGTAATGTGTATGCCTTGTGTTTCTTGTCACCCGTTGTCTAGGATTCCCACTCATCAATACGTGCAACACTTGTTTTACTCTCAGACTCACTTTCCGACGGTGCATTGCTCAGTTTTTCACTAGCACTTTGTCCTTTATTTTCCAAATTCATCACATCATCAGAGTCTATATCAAGTTTTTCGCTAAACTTATCAATAATAGATTCTTCATCCACATCACACAAGGGATTATATATCCATTTTCTTTCAATCTAGAGGGCCGAGGTTCAGCTGAACTTAAAAGCGTGCTGCTAATGCGTGACATGCTGTAATATATGAATGGAATTTGTTCCTCAAGAAGTTCAAATTATGACTTCCAGATGGCAGAAGAAGGCAGACAAACATTCATGAATGCATTTGCACAGAATACAGTGGCCAGCAATGACATATGATCAACATATGACTGGAGAAATGGGAAAGAAACTTTGTCAGTCATATATCGACATTCGTCCATGGAAGCACTGTCACCATGTCGATTAGATATCGACATATGACCTAAATGGGTTAATATTTGGTACAACTTTAAAAGAATTTTAAGTGTCTAATGTAGTCCTGTCAGCAGGAATTTGCAGCCCACAAAGCTCTGTCTTGTGTCCGTATTTGGTAATTGACACTTTCTGGGTAATTGGTTATCAGAGTGAAATTAACATTTGTGAGACATCTTACAACATATGGAAGTATACAGTGTTGCCAAACTCACAGGCTTCTCTGAATTTTGCTTTGATCAGTCTGCATCCCTACTGGTAAAGACTTTCACAAGTCATCCCATGTGTATTAAAATTCCTCTGTTTAGCTTTGACCTTTTCTTTACAATACACCCAATAGTAGGAGTGCACTGAGAATGCTTGTATTGCTAAGTGCTGCTGTAGGAGCACTGATGCGTCACTTCCGTATCAGAGTCAGTTGGGTGATAGTTGATAAGAGTACTATGGTCTGTTCTGAGTATGAACTAACAACAGAATATAATACTAAAAGTAGGAGAAGACCAAGGAATAGTGGAACACAGTGATAATCTAATTATAGCTACTGATATCCTATTTGTGATTAATTGATAGTGCCATCAAAAAAATCCAGGATTTCAATTTTTAACATATCGTTAAATTCAAGATGTTTGTTTTTGAATATGCAACAACTCTCCAGGTGTTAGCCCCTCCTTTCCTGCACAATGCTAATGTTGCAGTGATCATTGGTTTGCATTATTAATTATGTGATGGTATTCACATTACATGTTTGCTCCCAGTTATTCAGTCATTCAGCCAGTGAGATGGCATCCATTCAGCAGAAAGCTAGCTCAGTGTATGCCATGGTATGCCAAGTTCAAGTCAGCTGTGACTATTCAAAGTAATTTTCAACATATATGGAAAAGAAGCACCTACTTACATATTAGTTACTTGGTGGTTTACTCAGTTAAAGAAATGGGGAATGCTGAGAAGCAGAAATCAAGAAGAGCACAAACGTCTGAAGAGATTACGAAACATGTCAGTCATGTGTAAGAAGATCTTTCACTCATTGCAGTTTGGAACTTGGTGTACCTGAGACCATAATCCAGAATGTACTGCACTAAGTGCTTAAAATTACACATTTATATAATTCAACTAAGACATGAAATTAAGCCACTGATTTCGTGAATGCTCCGTACAGTCAGTAATGTTTGTAGATGCTGTGTTTCTTATCTGTGGCTGCATCAGTCATATGAATGCAGAATATGGGGATCACAACAACCAAATAAATTCTTTGGGCACATATGTGATACCCCAAAGGTGACTGTGGTGTGGGCTGTGGACTGCTGCATGACCATATGGCAGGACCTCTCTTTTTTGTGGAAAGAACAGTCAAAGTGAACAGTAACCTAGATCAGTTAGAACAGTTTCCCCCCATGTTTACAGCTTAGAGAGAGAAAATGCAAATGATGTTCTCTAACAAGAGAGCTCCCCACCTCATTTCAGTCTACAGGTTTGTCTTGGGGTCATTCCATGTGAAGTAATCCAGAGAGGTCGCTCACCATTTTAAAAAAAATTCATATTTTGTGCACTTATTTCTACATATTTTCACACTTCAAAAATATTTTTAAAAAAATTGTATTCTGCCGGTACAGCTGTTTTTATAATGTGAAAAAACACGTTTTCTGCTCAAATGGTGGTTTGCATTATCTTCTGTATCTCGATAACTGTTGAAGCTAGAGACTCCAATGAAAAACCAATTTGTTCCTCATGATAGGGACAACAAATCATATTATTACAAGTTTTTACTCAATTCACGTCCTCTAGGTGTAATTAAGCTTGAAATTTACCTGTCGATTTTGGGAAAAACGCTAATTTTGACCTTCAGAAACCAATGGGAAGGGGAAAGTATCAGATCTGTGGTCTCTACCCTTTGTTGTTACCCCCATGAAGAATATAATCACGTTGTTTTGAACCCCGTACCTAGTTTCCAAAATTTCCCAGGAGTTTCCAAACTTTGCTCTGGGCCCAAAATCGGCAATTTTTAACATCTCACATCTCCGGTGGGGGAGCTCCGAAAATTTTGAAACTCATAGGAAATAATGCCCTGTTCTAGGGTAACGTGAAGTTAAAATTACAACTTTGAAATTCAACTAATAGCGAAGTTATAATGCGAAAAAACGCGTTTTCTCCTGAAATGGAGGTTTGCTTCATCTCTCATATCTCGATAACTATTGAAGCTAGAGACACCAATAAGAAACCAATTTGTTCCTCATGATATGGACTATAAATCATACAATTACAAGGTTTCCCTCAACTCACTTCCTCTAGGTCTAATTGAGCTCAAAACTTACGTATCGATTTTGGGAAAAACGCTATTTTTCAACTTCAAAAACCAATGGGAGGGGGAAAGTATCAGGTCTGTGGTTTCTACTCTTTGTTGTTTCCTACATGGGGAATATAATCCCATAGGTTGAAACCCGTACCTAGTTTCCAGAATTTCTTAGGAGTTTTCAAACTTTGCTCTGGGCTCAAAATCGGGCATTTTTAACATCTCATATCTCCGTTGGAGAAGCTCTGAAAATTTTGAAATTCATAGAAAATAATGCTCTAGTCTAGAGTAACTTGGAGTTAAAATTACAACTTTGATACTATTATATTATTATATGGAACCTGAACGTTCATTAACATGTTCACAAGAGCCCTCCACTGGTCCCTATCCTGAGCCAGATCAATCCAGTCCATACCATGCCATCTTATCTCTCTAAGATCCATTTTAATATTGTCCACCCACCTATGCCTTGGTCTTCCCAGTGGTCTCTTTCCTTATGGCTTTCCCGCCACTATCCCATACGCATTCCTCATCTCCTCCATTCGTGCTACATGCCCTGCCCACCTCATCCTCCTTGACTTGAGCATTCTAATTATACTTGGAGAAGAGTACAAGTTATGGAGCTCCTCATTATGTAGTTTTCTCCCACCTCCTATCACTTCATCTCTCTTCAGTCCAAATATTCTCCTCGACACCCTGTTCTCGAACACCCTCAGTCTATGTTCCTCCCATAATGTCAGAGACCAGTATTATATTTAAGCATCCTGTTACACTCTACACAATGTATGACACAAACTCTGTCCTAAGTGCAACAATTTATTGTAGTTCTTTTGTCTTCTTTTCTTCTACACTACATGTTTCGGCCGTAAATGGCCATCATCAGGTGTACGGCCGAAACATGTAGTGTAGAAGAAAAGAAGACAAAAGAACTACAATAAATTGTTGCACTTAGGACAGAGTTTGTGTCATACATAGCATAGTATTTATTTGTGGTATTTTTCTAAAAATGGTTAGTAGTGTTCTGAGGAGAAATACCTTATGGCTTACAGGCAATGTTGGAAGATAAGCTACGTGCTACAGACTGGGAAGCTACAAATGAAGCAATTGAGGAGCAGGTTGCAAGGGAAAGTTATTTGCAGTGGCTCAGAGACAATGAGCAGAGAAACAAGAATATGGTACGTTGATACTGATGTACAGTGCTTCTGGCTTCGCTTTCCAAATATGGCATGTTTGTTGAAAATAACAAGCTGTTAAGGTACAAATTGAACAGTTACGTTTGAGAGTAATAGCTGCTGTGTTGTCAGATATTACCTGTCTTCTGTATTTGTTTGTTTGGTATTGGTTCTTGGGTCATGGGTGATATGTGTAAACTGGCTACTTTGTATAAACTCATTCCCCCAGTTGTTGCCTGGAGACAGTATAAAATCCATTTTGTTTCATTATCTCAAAAACAGTACAACTTAACGGGAAATGTGTATTGGACATGAAATGTGAGTTCCGTTTTTATCTATGATGTTTCTTCAAAACTGTTTTAATTCTGATAAATATTTAGTAAGTTCACATGATTTTTGAATGAGATGTGTGCTTGGTAGTGTCCTTTATCATTGTCAGATTTTAACTTCTTTTAGTACATTTACACATTTTAGTAAACCTCTCTAATGTTGTACTTCATTAATATCTGTTCATTGGTTCTCAGTTTGTTACAGACAGATGAACAGTCAAATATAATGAAGCTACTACATTCATTTTTGCAAGTTTTCTTTTCATACACACCATTATTTGTTATTTATTTCATTATTTTTGTACCCTGGTGCCGGATAGTAATATACATAATTAGAAATTTATTTCAGTCATTTTCATATATTACAAGTACTTATTATAACAGTCATTTTTATGAATTTTATAAATTCTCATTATATTGAGGATGCAGTGGAAGTGGTCACTGGATAAAAGTTATCGTTTCATACATGTATATTACTGTCTTAAATGCAACATTTGTTTTTTTGTCTCATATACATCTTGTCTTACTGCATGTTTCGGCTTACTGAGGCCATCATCAGGTGTGAGTCCTTCCAAAATTTTCACTGTATGTTCTACCTTGTGTCACAAACCTGTACTCAGTGTTTTTTTGAAGTTATTTGTTTGTATAAATTATTAAAAAATCTTTAAAATATATCCGTTAAAATTCTGTTGCACTGTATTTGGTGCCATAGTGTGGATGTTATGTGTGTTATAGATGTGCATGTTAGTTGACTATACAGTATTTATATACATGTTAAGAGTGTTGTGGTGGCATGTTGAAGGAAGATATGATATGTGTGTGACAAAATATATATTGAATTTAAGATGGTAATATGTATGTATGAAACTGTAATATTAATGCAGTAAGATGCTTAAGTAGAACAGAATAAAGATTAGAACATTCACAAGCACATCATGGAAAGATGTTATAAACTGATGCCATGCTTGTGAATTTTGTATTATGTTACTGTGAAATGTGACCACATTTCAACCATTTTAGTCAACAGTCATGACTGACCTTTATAGTATGCATCTTGTTGTGTGGCATATGGAAGATATGTAATGGGAAAGTCTACTACTGTGTTACCACTTGTTTTGTTAGTTGTTTGTGATAACGCTGCCCAGAATAAGAATATAATAGGTAACCATTATAGATATGCTTATATGAGACATCCTACATAATACTAATTGTAATATATGTAAAACAGAGTACAACTCATTTTCCAGGAAAGTTAAAAACCATCGTGACGTAGATTCTGAGGAAATGTCCCAGCAAGCAGTTACCCCACATCAGAGCTATTACTACCACAGTGAAACAACCAAACAACATATATATGGATATGTAGCGGTCACAAAGTCGTAAATAAGACATATATTATAAATATCTTAATTGCTATTTAATTATAATTTAAAGTTTTATCCTATTAATGTCAAGTTCTGAAATATATTTGAACTACATTTAAATTAAAGCGTGTTTGTTAGTATAAAAATCATACAAACACAATATGGATCCATATTGAACGATGACACAATTCAAGAACTGGTACCAGTATTTTTGTATGCTTGAAGGTGACCCAAGAAAAGGGTTGAAAAATGTAGCGTTACCACCATCTAATAAAACAAATGTTGACACAGTAGTATCTATTTTGTCTTTTTTCAGAATTGTTGTGTAGACTGTCCCATTATATATATCTTTAGTCATGACTAAGCCAAGGATTAAAAAAACCTGTTGTAATTTACACTGCTTGTAGGGGAAAGTAGATGCTGTCTCATAAAATTTTCTTTTTCTGTGCTTTACACAGCAAATGTTAATGTACAAGGTGGTTCAAATATGACCGGGACTGATTTTTTTGTAAACAAGCTGCACTTCGCAGCAGCTGTGCGACCTTGCAAGAGTGAAGCCACAACCTCTACCCTCCCTCCTGTTAGGGTTAGAACCTGTTCAGTGCTGTCTGGAAGTTGCTAGAGTGATGAGAGAACAGAAGCTACCGCGGAGCGTGGAACAACACATTGTGATCAAATTCGTCATTGGAGAAAACGTCCAGTCCACTGAAATTCACCACAGACTCCAACAACAGTATGGGGAAGAGTGTCTTGCATGGACCCGTGTGTTTGAGTGATGTTAAATGCTTCAGAGAGGGCAGAGAGCGCGTGGAGAATGAACCACACGATTGTTGGCCGCGAACATCCATCACCAAGCCGAACATTGATCGTGCAGACGTGCTTATTCGTGAGAATAGGCGCATCACTATCAAGGAACTTGGAGTAAGATCCGATCCAAGCGGAAGACAGGTGGAAAGCGGGTAGCCTTCCTTCAAGAAAATGCATGCCCCATACTTCCAAAACAACAATGGAAACCCTTCGGAAATTGAAATGGAATCTTCTGACACATCCGCTGTACAGTCCTGATTTGGCCCCAAGTGATTTCTACCTGCTTGGAAGGCTCAAATCAGACTTGCAAGGCATGTGGTTTGTGGACAACGACGCCGTCATCCAGACTGTTCAGGAGTGGATNAATTCAGTCCGGGTTGTATATGAACCACCTAGTAACTGGAAGTCATACGAATTTTCGCAGGGCTGATTTTATCAAATATACTTTTGCAATATATGAAAAACTGAAGTTATAATAAAGTTGAATATGAAACTGTGCAGCTTCTTTTATGAAACTTATATGATATCAGTTTCATTCAGATATCCCAGTAAGTTGTGGGGGGGTATAATGTTTTGTATAATGACTGATTTTAAAACAGAAGTCTATTCTCAAAACCACTGAGTTATAAAATAGAACACTTTGTGCTTTTATTTATGTCATTGAAACTAGGCAAAAACATTTTTATTTCCTTGTGCTGTAAATCATCCTTTCATTAAAGTTCGACAGTGATCATTTCAGAAATAAATGTCACTCTATGGACTTTTATTTTCTTGAGGCTGAAATGAATGTTAGTTACATAATTCAGTAGTGAGCTGATATAGCATGACATATGTTGGCAGCAACGGGCAACAACTGCAACTTCCAGTACAGCAACAGTCACCTCAGATAACAATCGCACATCACCACGTACAAGGGTTGCAGGACTAAATTCTCCCTCACCTCCAGAGTCTCATCGCAACTCCCCCAAAGTTGTGGATGCACAGCACTTCGCAGATGATGCAACTGCATGTTCTTCATCAGCTGGATGCAGCTGGAATGAGATGCCAAACTCCAGGCAGGGCTTTGACATTCTTGAAACAGCCTCTTTTCTCAACCACTTCTCTCCAGAGCTGTTCGGTAAGCACATATACCCTAAAAAATTTGATGGTCTTTTAAAAGAAATTTGTGTTATATAGTTGTGCAGAAAGCACACATCCTGTGTGCTGCCACAAGGTATGAGGTGTGCCATGTAATTTTTATGAGAAAATATACATTAAAACCTCGGTAATTCAGTATCGATTAATTCAAAGTAAATGTTGATGTTTTTTAACCAGTTAATTCAAAATGCAATTTGAATTCAAAGCTGCATTCCAGCCCAACAGTAGCTTAAGATTTGAATTACTGAGAATTATTTTAATGTAATTTCTGCTAATTTTGTAAAAGGAATCTGAATTATACCTTGTCCATTCCTGAAATCCTTCCCACTGTGAAAGAATGCTAATAACTTTGAACACGCGAGTCGATTTGAGTAACAGGTCTTTGTGTGAGTCACAACCATTCATAGCTACAGCTCTTAAGTACAGACTGCAAAGAGTGACCATTGTACTAGGAACATGCAAGAGACTAGGTATATTGAGTTGAATCTCTCACATAAAGGGTATTCATTTTTTAGTCCGTCATTTAGTGTAAAACGTTAAGGAAAAGTAGAGAATATACGTGTGTTTACGCAGAATATAAGAAAACCGACCCCCATAGTGGAAGAACCACACACAAGTTTTAATTATGACACATAAGATGAATAATCTTAACAAGTTTTAGTGTGTGGATATTCATTATAGTTGACAAGTGTGCACTTTTTAAATAATTTTATAAAGGCAATCAATGAAATAGATTAGCGTAATTAGGGCACCTGATGATGGCACTATGTTGCCGAAACATGTCGTGAAGTAACAGGTGAAATTGAGTGCACTACAAGATGGCAACTGTATACATATCATGGATGTGTTATATTTTATTTCCATATGCCTGCGTTCTATGGAGCAAGGATTTATGAAATTGGAAGGTGCTATGGCATGGAAATGAATGTGGAGAAAACAAAAGTAATGAAAATTTCGAGACAACCAACCCCAGTCACAATAAAGATAGACCAAAAACAAATAGAGAATGTGAAATGTTTTAAATATTTGGGCACCTTGTTAACAGATGATGCAAGGTGTACTAGTGAAATTAAATCCAGGATTGCCATGGCAAAAGCTGCATTTAGCAAGAAGAAGAATCTTTTTACCAGCAAATTGGACTTAAATTTGAGGAAGAAACTAGTGAAATGCTACATTTGGAGCATAGCTCTGTATGGGGCTGAAACATGGACACTTAGGGCAGTAGATCAGAAACATCTGGAAAGTTTTGAAATGTGGTGTTGGAGAAGGATGGAGAAGATCAGTTGGACCGATTATGTGAGAAATGAAGAAGTGTTAACTAGAGTCAGGGAGCAGAGGAATATCCTACACGAAATAAGAAAATGGAAGGCTAATTTGATTGGTCATGTTTTACGCAGAAACTGCCTTCTGAAAGAAATTATTGAAGGAAAGATAGAGGGGCAGATAGAAGTGACCAGAAGACAAGGAAGAAGACGTAAGAAGATGCTGGATGACCTTGGGGACAGAAGAGGATACTGTCATTTGAAGGAGAAAGCTCTAGATCGCATTAAGTGGAGGAATTGTTTTGGAAGAGATTGTGGACCTGTCGTCTGACAGATTACTGATGATGATGATGATGGCTCTATAGTTTTGTACCCCTATTTCATGGTGCACAATTTTGTTGCATGCCATCATCTGTTGTTGACATATTACGTGTGCCACAAGTAAAGAAGCTGGTCACGGTAGCCAGGCGGTCTAACTAAGGCATGTACTGTCTTTGCTTACTTGGAAACCAGAATTGTGGGTTCGAATCCCACTCAGGGCATGGATGTTTAGTTTGTGTGTGTGCGTTTTTCTGTGTTTGTGTACAGGTAGAAGCCTTGCAACAAGCTGATCACCAGCCCAAGGAGTCCTACCGAATGTGTAAGATCTAGAAAAACTGAAGTGAACAGAGAAGTTCATGGAGGTAGGCCTAGGCCCACTGGGGCTGTAGTGCCAAGGGGGGGAAGAAAAAAAGAGTAAAGAAGGGTTGTGGAACACAGTTACAGTTGAAATCTTGGTATGAGCTCCACCTTCCACAGTTTTTTTATATTGTAGCCCTTATTGTTATTTTGAACAGTTAGTCGCCATTTATGATATTGATGCCAGTCTGTCTTTCTCCACTGCTGTTTTACTGTATGCTACTGCTCTGTCCACTTGTGATTTATAGCACGCACTATTTCCTGTCCATATTTCTCTGCCCTGGTTTCACACATCCATGCTTCTCTTGCATCCTGCTCAGACTGATGCTAAGACTGTCAGTCAAACTGTTCTGGTTGTTTCTGTGGAAGTCTGCATACTCCAGTAAGGTTCCAGGTGATCCTCAGGTTACTGGCTGTGATCATCAGTAGTTGGCTGCAAAACATTTTTGAAGCAGAGCCTCAAACCTTTACTCAAACAAAGAGGCACATGAAAGCCAGGTTATGCACACCACTGCACTCCTCTCTCTCATGTAACACGTCTCATCCTGAGTAGTCCCTACATGCAGGACCAATCTCTCCAAATACACCACCGTCCTCTTTCTCCTGGGATGACTTTGTAGCTTGTAGACTTCATCTCTGATCCAGATGATCACCTAAGTGCCTTGCCAGTGTGATTGCAGCATATGCAGCTTTCCTCTGGTCCATGTCAGGCAGTACAACCAGACTTCCCTCTTCCTAGTATCCTGTGTAGTGGTCTAGTCACTTGTAGCAGGCCTGCATCCAGTCCCTGGCGATCCTCAAATAGTGCCATGCTGTTGGCTCCACCTCTCAAAATCATCATCCCTTGTGTGTAGCCAGTAGTACCCTTTGTCTAACCTTATCCAGGGTTTAATTGACAGCCAGATGTCTTCCTGAAGAGCCTTCATAAAGCTTTCCCTGTACTTCCCTTACCTTGCTCTGTGGAAGATCAATTTTAGGTTCTCATAGACCATCCCTCAGCCAACTCCCAGTGGCACTCTAGCAAGCCATCTCTCACTGCCAGTGAATTCCACTGGGCCCAGTAATTCTTGTAGATGGGTCTGCAGTCAGCAGTGTTCTACCTGGCATGCTGTCCAGTCTCCACTTCCTGTAGAATTGGCCCTGCATCTTTGCCATCCTACTCAGGATGGGACAGCCATCTGGAGTGGAAGCAGTGACAGTCTCATACCTCCAGGCTACCTGACTCAGCTTTCTGACAACAAGTCCCTTCTCTCCTGGTAGGGTCTTCTGGAGAGCACATCTGCATTAGTGTAGTTCTGCCCTTGACAGTGTTCAGCCACCATAAAAGGTAATGCTTTTGGAAGTTGAACCGGTGTCTTCACCATGTACAAGGTGGTTCAAATATGACCAGGACAAATTTAAAAAAAAAAAACATAATTGCCAAACACTTACTTGCACATGTCAATCTTCAACATACTCCCCTCCGGAGTCAACACATTTTTTCCAACTTTCTGGAAGAATCCTAATGCCCAACAAAAAAAGACTTGTGGTTGGCAGCGTATCCACTCCCGAACATTCTGGATGACAGCGTCGTCGTCCACAAACCGCATGCCTTGCAAGTCTGATTTGAGCCTTCCGAACAGGTAGAAATCACTTGGTGCCAAATCGGGACTGTATGGCGGATGTGTCAGAAGGTTCCAGTTCAATTTCCGGAGGGTTTCCATTGTTGTTTTGGCCGTGTGGGGGTGTGCATTGTCTTGAAGGAAGGCTACCCGCTTTCCACCTCTCTTCCACTTGGATCGAATCTTTTCCTTCACGTCTGTTGCCAGAAGGTCTGAGTAATAAGCTGCGTTGACTGTTCTGGCATCTGTCAGAAAGTCTACATGGATAACCCCCTGCCGACGACCATGCGGTTCATTCTCCACGTGCTCTCTGCCCTTTCTGAATCACTTACACCACTCAAACACATGGGTCTGTGACAGACACTCTTCCCCATACCGTTGTTGGAGTGTGTGGTGAATTTCAGCGGACGGGATGTTTTCTCCGAGGAATTTGATTACAATGCGTTGTTCCACGCTCCGCTGTACCTTCTGTTCACTCATCACTCTAGCAACTTCCAGACAGGACTGCACAGGTTTTAACCCGAACAGGAGGGAGAGTGGAGGTTGTGGCTACAATCTCTCAAGGTCGCATAGCTGCTGCACAGTGTGGCTTGTTTACAAAAAAAATCAGTCCTGGTCATATTTGAACCACCTAGTACATTCCTTCACAGTGGGGCATCCTTCATATTTGTTCGCACTAGTGTGTTCACTACCTCCAGGGGGTTCTCTAGCAGTGCAGTTGTGACTCTCCCTTACCAGCCCAGTGATTTCCTCATTACTGGCCATTATGCAGGGTCATGATGATGGAAATGCTCCAGGGCACAAAAATGACATTTTTCTTCCAATTGTAGCACACAGTGCTTCAAATCCACGGCTGCATCTCAGGCTTGCAGGATATCCAGCCACTGGGATAACTCACTTTTGAGATGCACTTTACCCCATAGTCAGCTCCAGCAGGACATCCTTCAACACAGTGGTTCTCCCCGGATGCCGCCTAAAGAACATATGGCCTGTATGAAGTTCTCATGTAACCCAGTAATGGCCCAATGGATCAACTGCTGCTGCTAATTCTTGTAGTGGCTTGCCATTCAGTTGGGTCCTAGCTTTGAATTATGGCTGGTAGGCCACCACCAGCTGGTGATCTCAATGGCCTTTTAGTGCCCTGACAGTATCCTCATATGTCATTCCAGATGGGACACTATAGGATGTCAGCAGTCTTCCATTGCAGAATGGCAAGTAGATGCTTGATCTTCTCACAGGCAGCTCAACTGTTATGATCAACCATAACCTCAAACTTGGTGAAACAATGTCCAGGACATTTATCCGGCAAACTTCTGTGGCTTTACCATGACAGCATTGGCCCCTTTGTTCCACCCATCTTCTTGTCTAGTTTGAACTTCTGCTGCCACCAGCCACATCTAAAACTCCAGTATTTGTCTTCAAGGTTGCATTGAATCACT